CCTCAACATATGTAAAAATGTGGTTACAGTGCCACAAATTCACTATGTGGGAAGTGTTGGTACTAATTACTGGTACAGAACCTTGACATTAGACATTGCAAAAACCAAGCATCAAATAGAGTAGCTCTTTGACAGCAAAGAGGTAATTATTAGGCTTCCACTCTTAAGCAATTTCCAGGACTTATTAATGCTAGCACACAAAAATCCCTGATCAAAGAATAGAAGCTTTTTGCCTTGTGATAAAATGACTGATCTCTAAGAAAAAGATTACATATGGTCAGGCAACAAAAGATCCACTTAACAAATGCTTTGTCATGGGTTTGCTATAGATGTTCTAATCATATCATCATTTTTCACTTTCACAGAAGCATCCAAGGATGTGATTGACTAAATACGTCAACAGTTCACTGAAGGCTGCAGAGTTAGAAAAAGAACTATATTGCCCATTTACTTTTCTTTGGCTTTGGCACTGTCTATCCAAATAGACAAGCCACCAAATTTGTGACTGAATCCATGCAGTGAAAACCAGATGCTCAAAGAAATTACAGGATCAGGTATCAATTTGTCCAAATTCTGGATGCCAAAACCAACTTGACATGGAAAGCCTGTTTTCAAAACTAGTTAGAAAATGAGAATCTTAGGTTCAGCGACACGTATCTTTGGATCACTGGCACTGTTTAATATTTTAAGACCAATTCTGAGACTCTCAGAACTGTTATGTTTAAAATTCCAACAATGTGTCTAGATCATAGAGTTCATGAAACAAGACACAAAACTTTTAGATCTGTCACACCTCAAAAATATCAGGACTGGCTAGAAAAGTATATCTATGAAGAGTTTTCATTCTTCCATGTGCTTCTTTTCCCTAGAATTTTGAGATATAACTCTGGCATCTGTATCTGACCTCTGCATGTTGGCTTGAAAAACCTCTTTGCTGAGAAGGGAATTTGTCACTGAAGCAGGTTAACCAGACAAGGGTGGTGGAATCTCCATCCTTGAAGGTTTTCAAGACTTGGCATAAGAAAGCCACAGCCTACAGCATCCAATCTTGGCAACAGTGTTGCTTCAAGGGGAAGGCTGGACTAGATGACCTCCAGATGTCCCTATAAACCAGAGATTCTCTGAAAATGAGACACCAGGACAGTATGTTGGTATTTCCTTCCCAACGAGTGACAGAAACATACCTTTTAAATAGACCAGACTTCAGAACAGCCCAGAAACAGTCTGGGATGTGCTAAGAAATACTGCTTCCTAGATTTTCTAGTTTTGGGCAACGCTTTCTCAGGTTGTTTGTGCCCATGGTTAAGGCCCTAAGGAGACCACATTCTTTACCCAATATGTCTATGGTTTTTCCTGTTAGCCAAAGCAAGTTTAACATTAACAAAGCTATTCCTTTATGGCATAGTACACTCATTCAGACAAACTCCTCCCACAAAAACAAGACGTAAAAGCTTCCCTTTCTTCATTTGGAGAGAGACATAAACCTTTGGCAATTTGTGTTCATCACTACAGAATTCTCCAAGCCAGAGTCCATGTGCGTACAGTCGCCTCTCTTCCCTGTGACAGCCTTCCTGGTTCCAGTTAGTAACTCCGGATCCATCTTACCTACAATGAAGACACTTAAGCTTTTTCTTGAGCAGTCCACAGTCCAGCAGTGTCACACTCTTCCCCCCCAACACTCACTACAGCATTTTCTACTTAGACATTTTTCTTCAGAACACACCTTTATAGGAGAGCTGTATGCTTCAGAGACTACATGAAGAAAACCACGGGAAGCAAGTCAGCATTTTCACCACATTGCTCTCATTTTTAGAAAAAACCTCCCCCATAAAAGTTGAGTACCCCCTGCTACTCAAGGAATTTTAGGAAAAAAATTTAGGTTAAGCTAAGAATTCTAGGACAGTCCTATTTCTGCTTGCTTTTTGACTTCCGGCCTTTAAAGAATGTTATTCCTCCAGAACAAATCTCCAACACCTTACTTGCCTGTCCTTTTTTACTGGGAAGCCTATCCTTTTTTACCTTTCCATCCTCACTTTCTTTCACCATGCACATCCATGCCCTCAGTCATTCAAACTGGACTGTCAGAAGAAAACCACATTGTTCAGTAGCTCATTGTCATTCAGTATCTACAGGTCTCTCTCAATTGCTATCTTCTAGTTGCTTCCCAAGCATAACCCTGGGTAAAGTACTCCTACTCTTTGGTATTCTTCTTGTAGATTACTCTTACTCTATTGATCTTCAAAGGATACAGGTTATTTTCATAATACAGGACACATACGTGTCACTCAAAAGAAAAATAAATTTAACAGATGAACAGACACATTCTACAGTGAGGTGAGATAGCCCTGAAAAACATAAGGAAGACTGTCATAGAACTAGATTTTATTATTTAATACTTTAAAAAGTGTGGTTTCATCTAATTTAACAAATGCAAATGCTGGTTAATTTTTTTTCAAAACCTTCAAAATGACAACAAGTTTCCTACAGTCTACAGATAAAAATCTTTTTAAAAAATCGATTTTTATCTAAAATGTTATAAAATCTGACATGATTAAAGAAGGCAAAATGCTGATAGTCCATTTAAAACATAGCCATCTTCATTCAAAACACTGTGGAACTGACAAAGAATGTCAGTTTTGCAAAAAAATGGTAACAAATATTTTTCCACTGTCTTATATGATAAGAATCTGAGTTTCCTACAATACTATACATTATAAATATAATAAACACATTATTAATATATAATTTCAAAGTTATCTCAGTCTTCTGAGGGTTTGTAGTGCTGCATTTTAACCATTTAAATGATTTTACACAGATACAAAATTTGACATCATAACATAATTAAGTTACTGAGAAACTGAAAATGTATTAATTCTCCTTTATATAAATTTTTTATAGTAGCAACAAAATTATTTCACTACATAATTACCAATGTAAAAGAAATAATTCAGCAAGAAGGTAAGGTGTATGCTAGTATGATTATTGTCATTTTAAGGCTTCAATACATATTTGTGTGGAAGGTTGAATGCAGTAAACACATCAGAGAATATCTTATTACCCAATAATGCACATAGTTAGCTACCTCACTGGCATTATAAAGTGGTTATTTTAGGTTCCTGTTGTTGTAGGGAAATTTTACACTTTTTGTTGTTCATTTTATTGGGCCATTTCTGATATGTAAGGTAGGGCACCGTAAGATAAGAGAAAAGAACATGGATATAAATGTGCACACACACACTATTTAACATGTCCTATCTACTAGCAGCTAAAAAGTATATAGTCCATAGGTGAGAACTTTAAACAGTTTATGTACACTATTACTTACTTTAAACATTCTTTCCGAAGTCGTTAATAAAAGTCAAATTAGGAACAAGCAATGATAATCTTAAAATTTCAAGACTGAATGTTTTCAGCCAACTGGTTGTCACCTTAGGTAGGTGTTTTATTTTTAAGAAAACAAAACAAAAAAATTCCCCGAAGTGTTTGTATCAGCCACATTGTTCACAAAACAGCAGAGGACAAAAATGCATGCTCTTCTAGGATGCATATTAGTCCTCCATTAGAGGAAATCCTTCGCCTATTGCTCTAAGAAGTCTGGGAGTTTTTTGGTTTTGGGTTTTTTGGGGTGGATTTTTAGGGGTTTTTAGTTTTTTTTTCTACAGAGTAATAATCTGAAACAGATAACCAAACACACACATGAAAGTTGATGTCTGACACCTTCTCTTCCTTCATTCCTCATCCAATAAAGTAGGCCACAAGAAGACCATGAAAGAATTAGGATTTTATATTCCAGTTGCTCTTGGAAAGTTTTTACTCCAAAGTTTCCATCACTGTTCAATATGCAACCACTTGTTTCACAAATGCTCTAGCCTACACTCCACTTCCTCACAGAACAGCTTTTCTTATTAGTTACTTGGTATCCTGGCAGGGAGAAGTTCTGCAATCTCGTCACACTTTATCCAGTCAGGCACAGCCCTGAGCAAAGGTGCAAGTATAATGACAGGAGAAAGACTTTTGAAATGAGTAACAGGACTGACCTTTGAAAAGTTCCTACACTTCTTGAAGACTCTGTTTCTAAGTGGTCTCAGTCCTGCTTCTTTATACTTTACAATCTCTTTACTTCTCTATTTTACACTCAATTTATGAAATTATAGTTCTCTAACCCCAGAAAATGCTGGAACAAAGGTCCAAGGCATCTACTTTAAAAACTTGTGGGTGTTTTCTACAGAAGCAGCTTAAATTTCTTCCTCTACATTTACTTCCAAGCAGATATGATCTGGAGTATAAACCAGAGGTTAGAAGTTGCATGTGTTATCATTAGTGTGGTATCTTTACTTTGCCACTAACTAGTGGTTTAAAAAAAAAAGAAATAAAATAAAAACCTGTTATTTCAGTTGTATATCTGCTACAAATCCGACACTTTTTGGGAGTACATAGACATTTTTTCCCCTTAAGAAAAGGTCTTTCTGTACTTTTTGAAACTTCATGTAGGGTTAAAACAAAATATTACTAGGAACATCAACTTCCAAAAATCATATGTGTAGCCACATCCTTTCTACACATGTAGATGTATCTTAAAAAAAGCCAACTTTCAACAATAAAGTAGCCAAACATTTTTTAAATTTTCTATAGACCACTTGATGCATGTTTAAGCATTTCCATTTTTACTGACCAAAGCTAAAACCACTCACAAGCAGAATGATGAAAAAAAAAAATGTCTATGTAAGAAATGTCTTGTAAAGTTTAAAGCAGTAAGTACACAAATACTATAAAATCCAGTCACTCTAAAATTACTGTAGCTGTAACCTATTATAGTAATTGAACACTCCCATTATACACTTCTATTGAATTTTCTATTTAAAAAGCTAAGTTTCTCAAAATGCTTTAAAAATGGGTAAAGCAATACACAACATAGCCATGGTTTTGACACAGTATGTATACACACACACACACACGCATTACTCTGGTCAAATGAAAAGTCAAAGAGAATTCTGTTTTCTGAAGTCATTCAAAGACATTTTATTACTTTTTTTCTTATCCTTTCTTCCCTCACTCCCCAATTTTTATCTAGCTATCTCAAGCAATACTTTGGATCTTAAATGGATACTAATTATTCTGGTTTTTTTTACTTTATCCAGACATTCTTGTTTTCCACTTCTGTGCTGCGAATCCCATAGCAGCTCTCAGCAGCAGTGGTGTCACACTGAACTGAACGGTAGACAAAAAATCAAAACTGTGTTATGGTGAAACAGGTCTAAAAGCAAACTGCTTCAACTTAGAGAGATTCCTTCCTCAGCAACCATTATTTTTAATGAGGCCAGTTCACTTTAGGAATCTTGGCAAAAACCAGTCATTTACTCTAGTCCTAGAGCAATGACTGCAAACTGGGCAAACATAAAGATTACATGCGATGTAAAATCTGCACGTGCATATCATTACACAAAAAAACCCCATGATGTGCTGGGAAAGAGGCCTGTCAAGCTATCACGTTTGTTAATGAAAAGAACAGTTTTATTCCAAACCAGTCTACTGTATCAGATTTGATACAACAAGTGTTAACTAAACATCATGCATAAAAGCTTTGATGAGAAAATCTAACACATTAAACTAAGAAACAGTTCAAGGACAGCAGGAGGCAATTCCAGAACACAGGCACAATCTATAAAGGCAAACTACCACAGCTTTTTGATGTTAAGTAAGTAGCAATATCAGTATACAACAAAGCTTAGAGGCAGACTTGTATCAAGTTTAAAAGTTTAATATCCAGGGTCAAAAGCCTCAATTACCTATTCTACTACTACTTTTCTCAGTGAAGAAATCAGTGTTAAAGTATGATTTACTGAAAGCATTATCTAAATTATCACATGAGGGTTCTTATTCCCTTAGTACCTGAATTTTTAGTATCTCAGTAATGCTGCATCTCAGATACTCAAGACTACAGCAAAACACGTATGTTTGAACTTTGACGAGGTGGGAGGTCAGAGACACTTACTTTGAAAACATATACATTTCTTAAAATGGGTTATGCCCATTAAATGGCCTAAGAAAAAGGGCACCAGCTCAAGAGGAGCGGCACTTAGTAAAACTGGGGATAAATTACTGCAGTAGCACTTTAAATTCATACCTTTCAGGAGAAAGCATAAAAGTACACATTTAAAAAAATACAAAACTGGGGGCAAAAAAAATCCCCCTTTACTTAAACTAGATATTTATATATGTTTTTGACAATGTTGTATTATATCTGTAAAACAGGCTACATGATACATGTTAATAGCTATTTAATAATTTACTTAACTAGTGAGATACAATTTTCTAATTATTTTTCCTGGGTATGTGCTTTCTATTGTCCATTTATAAAAGAGTATGGAGGGTAAGATTAAGCTGGTAATTGGAAATGGAGGAAAAATATCTTTTTAAGGCAAAAGAGGGAAAAAACCCCAACTTCGGAATTGTACTTTTTCATCTTTATCTAGAATATAGCAACTTTGCACTGGATACAGAAAACCACATGGACTCCTCTATATATTCTTCTATGCCTGTCCACTCCACAGCTTTTAAAAAATTATTGTGACCTTAACTGTGGATGAATCTCAGCTCCTTCATTAAACAGGAACCTAATTCTGTTGCTATCACCTTACCAAAGCAAAATCTGTTTTTCCAATACCCTGACATGACAACTTTTACACTTTTACCTTTGTAAAAAAATTATAGAATTAAATCACTCTAGTTTTTAGGAATATTAATCATCATTATAAGATATTTTGAGCCCTAACAGTTAGGGAAAACTAATGGGATGAGGGGAGGAAATGTTTCCTGTACAAATTTTTCTGAATTATAAATTGCCTGTTTTGAGCAGGCTGGGCTGCAATGCCACCTGGTGGCTTAGAAAAAATAACAGGATACTACTTGAACAGTGCTCAATGGCTTGGAAAATATGCAATATTCTTTAAAAATGCCAAATATGGCAACAATGTTTAAGTTAATGATTTGCATCTCTTAGCTAACAAGTCGTTTTTCATTCTGTTTCTCCCAGTGCACAGTATTTTAAGTTTTAAAGTTGACATGTCAAGACCTAACTTCAACTGGAACTTTACAATTGTTTTCAATTGTAAGTTGAACTTGCCAATGAGTACATTACACTGTAAAGGGTCACACACATACACACAGGGTCTAATTTGCACAATAAATACCTAACATTGAATTTTTCCCCATTTGAGGAAAAATTAAATACAGCAGAAGCCTAAAAGAAGGGTTACTGAAATGCTTTGTAAAATTACACTGTATAATTAATTCCATAGTAAGAACGTTTTTATGGTGTGTGTTGGTGACCTTTTATTACCATCAAGTTCACAATGCTGGTGGGCTGCCTTTTAATCCCTCCGCAGACAAAGGCCCTAAATAAACACAGATCCCTTCCTGGGAAAAAGTCCTCTCTGGTTAAATGGTAAGGAAATGAGTAAATCATTAGTAATCTTTAAAGCCAAAGCTATAAACTCAAGTTACCTTAAGTTAAAATGAAAGTGTCCTGCAAGAGTTTCAAAGTTCTGTCACAGATAGAAATCTCCAGCTCTTGACTCCAGACTAGGCGCCAGCTGATAAACAAACAATTTAAGTCAAGAGCTGGAGAATTCCCAGCTTTTTCATTTAATGGCTTTGGCCAAGAGTATTTATTGCCTCCAGTTTTATTCTCACTTAGCTCTAAGAGGAAATTTAAACTCATCATTATCTTAAAGCCCCATATGGGCCACAGTCAGCTCACCTGATAGATCTCCTTTTACTCTGCCTAAGTTCTACTCCCCACTAGAAGTGATGTAATAGTGTAAACTAATTAAATGTAGTTTTAGGTTGACTTTTTAATAGGCTAAATAAATTTTGTTCAATATGGTTTATATTCCCACTTGGGGCAGTAACGATTCCAAAAAGTTTAACTTTACAGTTTCCAGTCTAAACTACTAGTAGTTTACTTCATAAAGGACAATTGAAACGAACAAACAAACCATCTTCAGAACAAGGACAGCCAACTGTTAAAAGCAACTATATTGAAAATTCTTTGCTACAAACTGATCTATTGGTACCAAAATGTACACAGAATTGTGAAAAAGCAGACTGTGTGGGAATTCCAATACTTCAAACGAAACATTTCAGGAATGCAAGGACATACGTGAATTAAAATTTAATGTTTAGTACTTGTTCTGGTTTTGGAATAAAAATAGGCAAAGCTATGGAGTTGGAAATTAAATATTAAGTAAACATCTGTGGATAAGTCAAGGTGTTGAATGCTGTGAGCAATTCCAGCATTGAAATATTTCATCCTAACTCAACAGGAAGATATCATGAGGTGGCCTCAGATGTCACCTTTCTCCTTCTTCTTTTCTAAATGTATACAGTACGAGGAGGTGAGAGTTCTTGAATACATATTCTAATGCTCATTTCACCTCAGAGATTTTTAAATCCACCATGATTTAGATTTAGCATTTCTAACCTCATCGCAGGCATCTCCTCCTAATAAAGCATATTTGTCCTGTATATTAATAATTTAGAAACTTCTCACTTAAGAAATAAATTTCACAACTGCCAGAGATGGAGAACTATGCTTAGCAAGAAGTCTGACTACCATTCCTAAAGGGTTAATAGAACTCAAACTTGAAACCAGGACATTGCATTCCCCTCCTACCACCCCCCTCCCCACAAAATACTTTCCTAACCTGACTTGGCTGAAAAAGCCAATTAATTGTTCCAGTGTCTGCCAAGACTTCTTATTCCTTTAAAAATGCAGATAGTGTTTGAGACAGCTGGCTACTCCAAACCCAGGTAACACCCCTAAATGTGGAAAGAATGAGGGAACATGAATTATGATTAGTATTTTAAATGGATTTGTAATGAAACAGACAGACAGACATCTTAAAACTACTGTATTTCCACCATTTATTATTTAAGAAGAGAAAACCTGTGTCTTAGATGTCTCTGCTGCTCCACTGAGTATATGGAAGCAGATTAATGTAAATAGCATTAAAATACGTGGAACTAGTTTTTCTGTCTTTGTTAGGAACTGACTGTACAGACACTATGATGTCATGCAAAACACACACACACGAAGCAGCCACCAAGTGACAGACAAGAACCTTTCTGAGCCAGAGTCATTGCAATCCCTGCAGAAACTAGTCATTTTAGGTCAAGTTAAGGTCATTGCAAAGCAGAGAAAAGAAAACCTTATGAGAGTTATATACCAAATATCAGGCTTAGCACCATGCAAAAAATGGTATTTAAATCCTTATTTACATTTCTACATGAATAAGAGATTTAAAATATACTACAGTACTAGGGGAAGCAAGAAAAGAGTTCACAAAACTAATTTTGAAACACTTCCGCTCATTAAGAAGCTCATACTAAGAAATTGTTGCTCACTGAGCAGCAATGGAGTCAATTTAAAGAGGAAGAAGATATTAAACATTTAAATTTTAACTGTTAATAAGTACAGCATCGATCCATACAAAATTATGTTACTACAATAGAGTAAAATTATATAAGTCAGTCACTTTTAATCTCATGTTTTAGAAGGGGCAGCAGTTACTTACATTTGTTGATAGCATTTTCATTATCATCAATTAAATACACTAGATTTATTGTATGCCTTTCCTGTAACTTCAGATTTAAGCCACAGGTTACACTTCTTTAAATAATCTCCTATTTGAATTAACAGGAACACCTGCTTGTAACACACTTTGTGTACTTTTGAAAATCCTTCTATAGTGAACATGTACACTAGAACACAGATACATTGTGAGCCAATATTCCCAATTTCTAAATACTGGAAAAATTTCAGAAGTTTTCACAAATATATGAAAATGAACACATAAAAAAGAAAAGCAGGAACTGTTTTTCTGGGAGCATGTTTACAACCTTCTGGTCATTTTTTAGTTTGTTTTCTTTTTAAGGAAAAGAAAAATGTTGGAAGCCCATGTTGTAAGTGCAACACTTACAAATAGGGCTTTCGTGCCTGACCTGTGACTTTTCCAGCTTATTTTTCCCCTCCCAAAGCTTAATTTCCATGCAGTTTATACTTAAATACTTAAAAAATACGGAGTTCTATCTCATCATAACGAGTACTTATCCATAGTGACAATGACATTCGTTGGCTTTCATAAGAACTACCTGATTGGGGAGGCAAAGTAATGATGGGCTGCACAAATCAGCTCCAAAGTTCTAAGGTATCCAAGTCGTTTTGCCCTCTGAAAACACATCCTCAGATTTGGAAGTTAAGATGCAACTGAAGCAAGACATGGAGGTGACCAAGCTCAGGTAGATACCTTCCTATTAAGTGTTGTCAGTTTAGATGCATATTCTAATAACAGCAAAGCTGCAGACAGTTCAGTGGTTTCAGTAACCTTCACGAGCATTAGAACAGTTAAAACTCTATGCCATGCACCAATAAAAGAAACACTCCTTTGCAATTGCAATCCACACCAGGTACTTACAGACAAGCACCTTCCAGCTAATAAACTTTCTCCTGTTCTTTTTTCCCCTCCAAAATCTTGTACGTTTTGTCAATGTGGTTAAATCTTGGTGCTAATAACGCCAAGGTCACAGGTTCAATCGCCTGTATGGGCCATCCACTTAAGAGCTGCACTTGATGATCCTTGTGGGTCCCTTCCAACTCAGAATATTCTGTGATTGGAAATCCAGAGCAACAACTTGAATTTAGAAAATGTGCCTCATTTTATCAGCCAGTGTAGAGGATATTTAAGTTGATAGAAAATAAAGTGATAGAGATTCAAGAATGCTTACTCCCAGCTGTGACCTCATGAGAACAGCAATAAACCTTCTAGAGTGAATGAAGGGAGAAGAAAAATGGACATTACTTTTGGAAGGATTAGGAAGTGAGGGACAGAATTTAAAGTGAGTCAGCCATTGTTATGTTGAAGATACAGAAATTAAGCAGTAATGAAACAAAACAATTTGCTAAGCCTAAACACTTAGTTATGCTTCAAGGTCATATTCACAGATGTGCTTTGAAAATAATCATAAAATATTTTAATTCAATATGATCCCATTTCCAAGAAAGGCAGAAAGGAGTAAAAGTCATTGTGTTAAGTTATATTTCAACAGGGTTTAAATAATATATCAACAAAGTTAGCTGCTGAAAACAGCAAACAATAAAACCTTGAACTTAGGTGATACCAAATTAAAAAATCCTTTATGTTTAGCTGGAGATGAAAGATATTGCCAAATAAAAAAAAGAATTAGCTTATAGTTGCATAAAAGGTCCAACCAAATCACTCCCAGGATGTCAGCTCTACACAATGCTTTGAAACCTTGGAGTTTGAAAGATAGTAGCTCTGTAGTATAAGACAGAGTGATTACCCCACAGACACTTAACAGACACCAAGGACAAACCTCTTCAACTTGCACTAAATTCCCACTGAATTGGATGGATTTAAGAAGATGCCTAAGTGTTATATGCTAAATTGGAGCTTTACAGATGTGCTGTATTAAGGCACTTCTAATTATTTTCTTTGCCTTGCATGACTTGCATATAGCTGATATTTCTCGATCCTTAGCAATAAAGGGATACTAGTGAAAATGCTATTAAAATGTTTTGATAGTGATGAACCAATCACTTCTTCTGACATTGTCTGTCTCTGTAAGCTTCAGTCTCCAGGGTCAAAAGCTGAAAATAGCAGGTTTTAACAGATACTAAACTTCTAGTCTTCAGTGATTTTAAATGTTAATGCCCACAAACTAAAAATAAACTAATAAAATTTAAAATGGGTTGTCCCTAAAACATTCAAGATTTGAAATGTCTGACCTATGAATTCATTAACACCTGGAATTAGGGGGGAAAAAAGCAAGATGGAGAAGACTTTCCAATACTTCAATGGGATCTAATGTCCTATAGTGGAAAAAGCTGTTGGTATATGCTGCCGTAATTAATTACACCCGTGCTTCCCTTCTCCTTTTTAGTAATAAAACAGAAGACAAAATAGAACCAAACATTTTCATTACTTGTCTGTCCAATCAGTAATCGGCATGAACTACCTGAAAAAAAGAAGATCCCAAAAGGATGAGTACACAAGAAGCTGTCAGATCACATATTCTCTCCCCACTTTGTTTTCCACTGAGTAGCTTTTTCTTGTAATTCAATAGCAGAGGAAAAAACTAACAAAAACTACTGTCCTTTACTGCTTCCTGTGTAATGTGGTGAAAGAACTGACTCAGAAACTTGTTTTCTATTTTCAGCTGTATTATTTGCTCTAATAAAAGCTTCTACCTCTCTGTACACCATTTCCCTTCTTTGTATTCTTAAGCCATGATGTAAAAGAACATTGGTATTGTGCTACTGTGATTGGTACTGAAACATTATAGATTCCTATTACTTATGTTGCAAGAATTTAATTAGCATAATAACAAAGTACTAAGGCAAGAATTTATGACTAAAAAAAGCATTGAAAGTCCTCTGTGGGCCAGGAGCAAAGGAAAATGGCAACTCACACCACTTTTAGACTTGGAGAATTACTGCACCAAAGTAGTAATTTACACACATCCCACAAGAAATGGCAGAACCATAGGAAACGCCACTTTTAACCACACAGGGTTACATTTGACTGACGAGCACACTTGGCCTGTCTTTTTCCAATTAAGCTCCATCTGCTTCCTCAGTTGGACTGGTTGGCTTGAGGCCTCTCGACAGAACATCCATTGTACGTTACTTCATCCACTTCCCCCAAAAAACCTTTCTCTGGTAGAAGCCAGGGGATGCTTCCCCAGAGCATGTCATTGGGCAGGGGCAGGCCAGATGGGTGGTGTGTGGGAGTGGGAGTGGCATCTGAGCAGTGACAGCAACCTGAAAAAGCATGGGTTTACTAACTCCCAACGCATCCAAGGAAGGGTTAAGTCCCTACAAAATAAAATAAAAAGCACCATTTTTCTTGCATTATATAGTCTGACCAAAAACCTTCTGAAACCAAAATTAAATAGTGTGTTCCCTTCCACTCCCCAACACACACGCTCTAAAATAAATAATGGCCAAACTGATTTAAATGAAATTCTGTAGAAGAATTTGTGCTTGGATGAAAATGGCACATTTGAGCCTGAAGCAAAAGTAAAACCGCCAAGTTATAAACCTCTCAAAGGGAAGGTTTATAATGGAAATGCCAACAGACCCTTAACTATAGTGGAGCTGTTAGGTGCCAACATATAAATAATTCTAGTTTTTGCGGTCACTTACGATAAATTAGATACAGTGCAACTGGAAACAGTAGGGTTCTGATTCAGTAAACAGCAACAGCCAAGAGTACATGTTTGGATTTTCAGACAAGTATAGCATAGATTTGATGCTGGCTCTGAAATGGAGTCTATAAGGGACATTTGGACTTTTTAAAGTAGTAAGCAAGTCATATTCTGAATTCTTGAGGGCTTGTAAAATAAAAACCTCCTTAACAAGCTTAGCTGCCTACTGTTTCAATTTTCTAAGATTCCTTTACCCCAGTTACAAAAAATCCACTCTATTCAAGACTGGAGTAATTGTCTACTAAGGAAAACAAAATACTAAGTAAGTGCACATAGTCACATTTACTGTTAAGAATTGCTAAGCATATTAATACAGTGAAGGAAAAAAGTGCCATTGACCAAACAGTAACAGATTAACCACCTTCTTCTTTAATAGGTGTGCCAGTTGTTGCACTACTAATGCAAATACTTTCCCTATAGTCCACTTGTTCTAGAACAGGAACAATGCATTTAGGTGATCAAATATTTTCATTTTGGCCCTGAGGAAAATTTGGAAGGAATTTATTGCATCATTTCACAGCAGTTAGGCCCCATGCCTTAACACAATTTGTTGAGGCAGTGAGGGATGCTATTAGGGCTCTCTGCAGGAACTTCCATCTTGGATGGGGTGGGAGCCCTCAGAGGCAGCCAAGATTCAGATTGAGGCTGCTAAGAGGATGCTCCATCTCAGGAAACTCTCCTGCTTGCCAAATTCACATCAGCTTCTCATTTAGTGCTTCTGCTACAAAACCTTACCACTGCCCCAGCAACACCCCTAAGTCTCCACTAATGTAAAGCCTAAGATGAGCACCTGCAGAAACAAGAAAGCTAGACACACTCCTAGTTTAGCTCTATTATGACAATGTTTCACATGTTGATAACCTACTGAAAATTCCTTTCTCCAACTGTCCTCCAACTTTTGAAAGAGAAAGGAAATCTCTATTCTCCCTGCACGTGCAACATAAAATGCCTTATTCAAGACAAAAAGCATCTAGCTGCCATCAAATACTGCTTTCAGACTAGCAACAGTTGTAGCAATTCTGGGAAATAGTTTAATCAGAAAAATGTTGGACATCAGAAACTGACCAAGTTTGAAGAGCTAACTATGTATAGTCATACACCTCTACAGATTATCTGTTAGTTCCATAATGAAAATCCACACTATAAAGTGAACTCAAGAAATCTGACACAAATGAAACACAAGTAGTATGATCCTCAGCCAAGGCTAAAAGTTAATGTGATTTTCTCTGTACTCCCCATGGCAAATATACTAAGAGCCACGAGCCACACATTCCGACCACGCGTTCTCAGAAAGCACAGATTGAAACAAAATGACAGCAAAAATGTGTCACTTCTGACTGTGTATGGTTAAACTACACAGTTACTGAGTAAGTAGGATCTTACACAGTTTGCAGCAACTCATATTAAATAAAGCAAATGGATAATAATTACGTGTCAGATTAGTATTCTTGTCAACTTGACTAAACTTCACATTAAAAAATCCCGTTAATTTACCAACAGTCAAACAACACATAGGATACTACGAAATCATTATGTGGATTTACTTAAAATATGTAAAGATTTTAATAAAGAGTTACACAGCATTTCACAGTGCCCCTCATCCCTTCATTTTACTGCAAACCAATTTAACATTCTCCCACTACACAGAATAATTAAACCACAACTGCTTACAGAATCAGGAATACAAACTAAAGGTATGGCATTAGGGTGACATTTCCATGCATTACTCTGTTCCTGTCAAGCCATACTTTAATTCTTCTTATGAACAGACACAGGTTAAAGCTGTCTAAGGTCTAGGAAATTCCACACACTGTGTCCCAGCAAAACTACAGGGAAAAAAAATGATAACCAAGTTTTAAGGGTTAAAACTGTAGGTCAAATACAGTGTAGTAAGTAAATTTTTTTTCCACTTCAGGTCCTATGTTGTGCTTGGCATGAAGAGAACTGTAGTTAAAAAGTGTTTCTTCAGCTCTGGAACTGCATGACTGTCCTCTGCATTTCCGTAGGTGGAAGTAGTGAGCCAACAGAATTAAATACTGTTGGACAAACTGAAAGGTGAACGTTTACACAGTTTGTATGCTGACAGCTGAATTCTAAATGCTTATCAAAAGGCAATACTGTTTCCTTTACCCTTTTATTTAATCATACAAACCATGGTTTTTTTTAAAAATGTGGTTGAAGGAGGAAGAATTAGGAAATCCTGGTATTTTTATGTGCTCCCTGTGGATTAACTAGGAGCCATTTTGCTAAGGACAAAAGCTCAAGCTACTGAAATGTCTCACCAGGGGCAATACCACACTAAAAATATGGAGTAATTTTCAGGTATTTGTTTAAAGTGCAGAGGAGTACTTCTGCTAGAACATTCTCCCCATTTTCATTAGCACAACTTGAGACACTTGCCAAAACATAA